GTGAATTATTTTGTAAATTTTGGATTTACATCCATAACATTTTATATGTTTTTATATGTAAGAAGAAAACAGCTATATATAATGTTGCTTATGATAATCATTTAAGGGACCAAATAGAAAAAATGGCGAGGGAAGTAATTTTGTTTCAACTTCAAAGACTAAAATGCTTTTTGAGTTCTTTTTGGGAAAGGGGACATGCAAAATCAGCTTAAAGGAACAGCAAATGTTTGACTTAAGTAGTTAAAAGAGTGAACTTTTTTTTTATTATCTAAATTAGAATAAATTAAAATGTCATAAAAATATAATTTTTTATAAATTTGTTAAATCCGACATATATGAATTAGCTTGAATTGACTCAAAAATATATATATTGAATAAAATTTAAAAATCTTTTATCTTTAAAAAAATAAGGTTCATGAATATCAAAAATAGCTTGTGAAAGAATTTGAGATTGCAGCGAACCAGAAAAAATCTTAGATATAATCTTATTATAAGAAAAAGTTAAGTAACCCTATTTTTATGTACAATCTCCTATAGAAAACGTAATGTTAAAGCTATGTTATAATTAACAAATAAGTTAACTTTATTTAATTAATAGATAGAGTATCTCATGCCGGCACCGTCTTCATTACATATTCCAATCTTTGTTGTGGAAAGAATTAAGTGAAAGAAAATAAATGGTGGGAAAGAAACTGAGAAAAGGAAAATCAAGAAAAAGTGAAAAATGAAAGGAAAACGAAAGAAAATCCCAACATTTTGTACTTGGAAACAGATCCCTTTTGCCTTTTAAGACCCGACATTTATGTCATATTGTGAAAGTGTGTTCTTACATTTGTGATGTTTGTCACAGGAATCTAATTCCATGGAATTTGAGGTGCTACTTCCAGGCTTTTGTACTTCCTCTTTTTTTTTTTTGTCCTTTTTGGTTATAAAGCATTGCTAAAAATTGCAAAAGCAACTTAAATGACAGATTGTTTGGAATTATCATAAATGTAATTTTTTTTCCTTTAATCTGTATTTTTTAGAAAAACAAAAATATTTTTCAATCAATTTATAATCATAAATATAATTTTTTTTCACTTAATCTCTATTTTCAAGATTATTATTTTTTGCAGTTTAGGTTTTTTTGTAAAAAAAAATATATATTTTGGAGATTGAAGAAAATATTGTAGAAACAATTTCAACAATTTTTAAATCAATTGTGAATTATTTTCAGCTGTATGAGACTAAGGCTAGTTGTGGATAAGCCCAACGTATAATGGAAAAATAAAGAAGCCCAACCAAATCTAGATGCAAACTAAGCCCACTACTTAGCAATCTTAGAGAACCCACATGCCCCACGACCAAAATGTACCATCTAATGTGTACCTCGGTTTTCTTGGGTGCCTATCTAACTATCGTATAACTAGTTCATTATCCTTGTAATGCACGAATTATTTTGCTTTATTAATTTATTTTTAATTATTATTCAATTAATTATTTTTTAATTGTAATTGAAATTTTTTTTTTTAAAGATATTTAGTTTGTGATGTTGCAAATTAAAAACTACTTAAAATTTAGTGTAATCATTTGTTATCTATTTAATAAAGTAATCATAAATAATTTATGTATGTAAAAAAATTTATCTTTATGATGACATGTAAGATCATTTCTAATTTTACATTATTTATCAAATAAATATATTTAAGAATTTATTAGTTATTCAAATTTTTAAAATTTAAAAGAAAGATAAAATCATATATATCTAATTATTTTATGCTTGAAATTAATTTATAGTTAAAATACAATGAAAAAAATCCTATAAAAATTATGATTAATTATAAGGATTTTTTAAAAAATCACAAATTATTTTTTTAATCAAATAATCTCATACACTTTAAATATGATAATATTATTTATCATATGAAAATATATAATTTTATATCAAAATCTTAGAAAGTTAGTTAAATAAATTAAATTAAATTAAATTAATTAAAATAAATTAAGAAAATAAGTATTTTTAAATTCATATTCATGTTTGATTAGGAAATTTAAAAAAAAAAAAAAGCAAATGGGCCGTAATGGAGTATGATTTTTTAACTTTATTAGGAAGTAGACCTCTTTGTTAGTTAGATTATGGGTCGAATTTGTAATTTTATGCTTAACTTTTTAAGTATGGATTCAAAATATTATTATATTAAAAAGTTATTTAATTATAATTTTAAAATATATTTGATATTGTAAAATTTTAACATTTTAATAATAAATATAAATTGAATAGGTGATTTGAGTCAAACTTGAAACAAAATCTAAAATTTAAAAATATTTACAACTAGATGCCACCAAATTTATGGACACTTCTTAATTTTTTAAATTCATAATTTTTAATTTTATGTTTAAGAAAATATCAAATGCTTACTACATGATATTCGATTTGAAAAATAAAAAAGAATGAAATCAAATTGGATTTCAACTTATCTTAACTTTTTTATAAATAAAAAAAGTGTTATGAATTTGAAGAGGAAGAAATATAGTAGATTACAAATTTTTATACAAAATCATAATTGATGCGCTAATTATATTACATAAATAAAATATGATTTCAAAATTTAATTAGCTCTTGTTATTTATAATAATATTTTGATATAAATAGTAAGTTCAAATCAATGTAATCAAGCAAACTATTAATAAAATGCTTTTGCATATTATAAGAAAGCTAAATTAAGAAAAAAAATTATTACTTGATTGAGTGAATAGTCAAATATAAAGAAAAAATATTTATAGATAGTGCCTACAAAATAAAGAAAAAAATATTTTCTATAACTTTACACCTTCTAATATATGAAAAAAGCAAGCCAATTTAAATTAAAAAAATTACCTTATTAAGGGAAGAGTTAAAAATAAAAAAAAAATATTTGTAGACAACACCCGCAAAAGATAAGAATATATGTGTTTATGTAACTTTACCTTTTGTAATATAAAAAAAAAAAAATCAAAGTTAAAAACTATTTGCTTACTATAACTATCTAAAAAAAAAAATAAATGCTTCTATAACTTTCACTTTTTAACATAAAAAGAGAATAGTGACAAAAAATGGAGAATAGTGACAAAAAAATCAAATTGATGTTAAAGAATGATATTAAACATCATTTATAAATTATTAAGAGATTAAATTTATAATTTTAAATAATAAAATATTATCATAAAATCTATTAAGTTAAAATTATATTTGATATTTTTAAAATTTAAGATATATATAAAAAATTAATTAAAAAAAACAAAAAATAAATATTATTGTCTTCATTGAAAATGATAAGTGAAGTTTTCTATATTTCACGGGCAAACTTTATAATTATTAATACTATAAATTTAATTGTAAAGGTAACAAAAATAGAAATATTCTATAATGCAACATTAATGACAAATAAAAAATAATTGTGCTTTTTCACTCACTATTTGGTTATTTAGGACTAATCTCATGTCCAGACCTATATATAAAACTAATTATTAGAAAATTAAATTTTAAAAATAAAAAGATACATTTAAAGGTGTATTTGACAAATAAAAATGATTTTTTTAGTAAAAAGAAAAACTTTGAATAATTTAAAATTTTCAAATAAATATATCTTAAAAAATTTGGATTACCAATAATTTTTTAAATAAAATTATTTAATCCATAAAAAAATAAGAATTAATTTTACTTATTTAAATAAAAATTTACCAAAATAAAAAATTTATCCCTTTAATTATTTTAAATCTAAATTGATTTTTCATTTAAATTTTAAAAATTTTGGATAATTAAATAAATTTTGAAACTTATTTTTTAATAAACAATCTAAAATTAAAAGATATATTATATATCATTATAAAGAAAAATTTTAACAATTTTTTTATGTGTAAAAAAAAAAATCAATGTAAACATCCACATCAATAAATTTTATCTAATAACTATATATATTAGTAATATATATATATTAAATTTATTTACATATAAATTCCTCAGCTGACACCTGTTCACAAACGACAACATATAAATTTCATTAAATGTTATGAGCAATGACTAAATTTTGTTGGTATCATTAATTAAAAAAAGTATAATTCTAAATGCAATCCAGTTTTTTTTTCTATGCGCTTCATATTTTTTAATTTTTTAAATGAAATTATTAAAATATTCACACAAATTTTATAATTTTTGAAAATGAATTTTTGAAAAATTGTAATATTTCTCTATTTTTGAGAAATCATAATATTTCTAAAAAATGTATATTTAAAAGTGTTAAAGGAGAAATTTTATGAAAAATTAGCAAAAAAATTTTGTTAAAAATATTTATAAATAAATATAACGAAAAAAGTTATTATTAAAAATTATAAAATTTAAAATTAATAAAAAACTACTTTTATTGTTTTCATCTTAAAAAAAAATCTTATGAGAGTTTAATTAAATTAAAGAAAAATAACAAATATAATTTTTTTTATAAATTTAAATTTTATTATTTTTTTATAAATATTTTTTTATCAATTATTAAAATTTTATAATAATTTTAATTAAACTAAACTCTTTAAGGAGGTCTCTTCATTAATTTATTACTATAGATTTCTTTGATTAAAATATTAAATTTTAACAAAATTACATAATATTAAATAGTATTACTTATATCACATTTTTATAAGTATGTAATGCTAATCAAAAAAATTTTCAAATTCGAGTTAAGCTCCAATTAGCTCAAAGACAAAGATGTTGGCACTCTTAAAATCAAAACAGTGAAGTAATTTTTTTTATTAATTTTAAAATTTATTATTTCTTAAGAATAACTTTTCATTATTTTAATTTATAAAAAATTTTAGTAAAATTCTTTTTTTTAATTTTTTTATAAAATTTTATTTTTGCGAAGTACTATGATTTTTTGAAAATCTATTTTAATAAAATGTTATAATTTTTTGAAAATGATAGATATCTAAAAATTTATAAAAATGGTATTAAGTAATTTTATTTAAAAAAATAAAAAAAAATGTAGAGCGAAAAAAAAAACCTCAGTCTCAGTTTGCCCTTGTCTCCTTATCTCCCCCGACGGTGCCTCTCCATTATGTCGCCTCTTATTTCCTCTGCCAGCAGAGTTTACGCTATCTCTAGTATTCTCATTGTCCATATCTGTAACCTCTTTTTTCTTCATTCTTCTTTTCCCTTAAAGAACGCCTCTCTTCTCTTTTTTTTTTTTGACCAAAATCCTAACCCAAAATCCAGGCAACGGTCGAACCTTTTAAGCCGCCGTCGATCACCTAAAAAGGCTCAATCATCGAAAAAGGCTGTCGCCTAATCCAAGATTTTTCTGTGACTTAGGCCTTGTCAAACAGAATAGAATAAACCTAAAGCCTAAAAGAATTAAATCATCGCATCTTTCACTGCCACAGTTACCGTTTACTAGCCTTGGCCCTCCCTGACTCTTCTTCATCATTCCTTTCCCAGAGTCCACATGGAAACTTTAGAGGAAAATATCCAATAATCATGTTCACTCTATTTAGGAATTGTAGGGGTTGTGGTCTTTAGCTGGGTATGGAAATAACAACGATTCTATGGTCTTTAGCTGGATATGGAAATAACAATGATTCTATGTTAAGGAATAAATAAAGGTGCAGTTTTCTATCTCTCATACTCTCTATGATCAATTTGTTTTGATTTATTGAATCGGTGATCTGTTTGATGTTTCCTTTTCAATTATCAATAATAAAAATTATGTTGGATGTTTGATACTATTGATTTTTTATATTTAGTTGAAATTTCAAGGTATAATTGATAATTTAGCATGATAAGCAGTTAGCCCATTTAATACATATGGTTTTAGTATGTTGGTCGATGCTCAAAAGTCCCTGAATAGTTGTAATCTAGATGATTTGTTACCTTTGTTGCTTGAATTCAAGCTTTGTTTCTGTTTTTCTCTTTATACTGCAAGATGAAAAGTCATACAGTGTCCAATAATGTAAGGCCATCAATGGTGAAAATACAAGGACAACCTGTAAACAGTTGTTGCTCTTCTTAGTTGATTTTACGTATTGCCTGTAGCATGGATGCATGTGAGAATAAGTTTCTTAATTTGTCTCTCAAGAAAGGAAAATTATACTACTGTGTGGAATTATATATATTTATTTGCCTTTTTAATTGTTTGTAAGCTATTCTGAAATTTAATTCTTTTACAATTTATTATTGATGGCATGCGCAAATTGTGTTGTTTGATAGTGGTAATATTAATTTTATTATTTTTGACTATTTTTCCTCACTATTGAATTTCTCATGAAAGTCATAGAAACACATCCTTCAATAACAGCCACTGAATCTTATGTTTATCTATTTGAAGTTTTGAACCGTTGTGTGGATGGATGCTTACCCTGGATTTCTATGTTCCTGCATTCAAGTTGGTCATTTTTTGGCATGAAAGAAAAACACATAAAATTTAAATCATAGTTATGTCATGACGGTCTTTTGTTGATTAATAATAATATTAGTTGTTTGTAAGCTGTTTGAAAATTTAATTCTTTTATAGTTTATTATTGATGGTCTATACAAATTGTGTTGCAGGATAGTTGTAATGTTGATTTTATTATTTCTTGGTCATATTTCCTTACTTTTGATATTTCTATGGAAGCCACAGAAACCATTCTTCAATTGCAGTCATATAATATATTTGGAGTTTTGAACCATTGTGTAGATAGATGCTTGCCTAAGCTTTCTATGCTTTTGCATTCAAGTTGACAATTTTTCAGCATGATAGGCTTTTTATGAATAGTTTGCATAATCAATTTGAAATTTTGTAAAACATCCAATCTTTTGTTTTCTCCTGGCTTTGTTGTAGTTCATGGTTGTTGAACACAACTTTGTAAGTTTTTCTTTGATGATGATATCATCCATGTATTCATTTTGGTTGGTTGTAGACCGTTGTTCTCAAGATTGATATGTCATGCCAAGGCAGTAGTGGAACTATGAAGAGAGTTCTGGGAAAAATGAGAGGTGTGTCATAACCCTTCCTGTTTTATCTCTGTTATTTTCTCATGATTATTATAACTAGTCTCTAAACTCTTTGTGTTATGACAACTATTAAATATGATGTAGCCTATCATTTAGTTCATTGTTCTTTTTTATTTTTTTTTGTTTAACTATACAAAGTAATTCTTATTATTTAAATGATTAAAGTTTAAAACATCCTCCAGGTTGATTTCCATCCAAATGCCGTCAACTTAGTTACAAGGATAACAGGCTATGCAAGATTGAAGATATTTACTGATCTTTTTACCTTTTCCACATTTGGTCCTGTTCAATATGCTACCTCTTGACCCTATGATCACCCGGAATCTTTTCATAATGGTTGCATATAAGTTTTTTGAGCATTTTTATTTATTTTCCATGTTTGTATTTAATTTTCATAAGCCAATTTTATTTAAATGAATGTTTGTCTTGGATTCATTCTTTTTTTGGATAGTAGTTTGTATTTTGTTATGCTATTCTTCTAACATTACTTTTTAAATTTCATGTCGATTTTTTTTTTTTTATTTTTGCAAGAGTAAGTTTCATGATAGATTAAATTAATTGATTTACTTCTTTTCAGGGTAATTATTGAACATTATTTTTCTCTTAATGCATGACAAATGATTATTTTTTCTTTGATGCATTATTTCTATCATATTAGCTTTTTCTGATTCTCATTTGTCATGGTGTATGTTTTTGTTATTGATTTATCTTTTTTGCATCAATTCTTATTTCTCACTTTTGAGTAAACTTGATAGTTTGCTTTTCTCTACAAGATTGCTTAATAGACCATGCAAATTGTTGTTTTGTATACATGGTTCCTTTTTAATGTAAGGTTATTCTTTTTGAAATATTCATTTTAAGATAATTTTTCTTTTTTGTCGAAGTTTTCTGACAACTTCGATCTCTAATTTATCTTTGTTTGTTTTAGTTATTATGCAAAAATGATCATAGAATTTAATTATTATTGAATATATGTGTAGAATTTATACTAATCAACTAAGAGGCTTCAACTAGAGTAAATCATCATACATGTGTCCGCAGCACGTAGCCTGCTTGAATAATATTGCATTGTTCTAAATTAACATTTGTTCAAATTAGTTTTACTTTTTAATTATTTTCTTATTTAATTTAAAATCATTAATTTCAATCATAAATTAAGTTAAAAGTGTATTATTCACCTTTGAATAAACTAATAAAAACTTTCACTACTTTTTAAGTAAGGAAAAAGATCTTTTCCCTTTATAATTATATATAAATATACTTATATAGTTTAAATAATAATTTACTAGTTTATTGAATTATTTTTCATGCATGAATATACTAAGTTAAATCTGCTTACATTAGTCACAAACTTAACAAATATTGTCGTGTGATTAGTGCTCTGCTCGACATACCCTCATTAATTGGCTTGGTGGAAGGTGCATGTATTTCTATGCTCAATGAATCGAATTCGAATTCTTCGTTTTATAAGTTAAAAAAAGGTACTTGTATTGTTCTAATTTGGGATAATACCTCATTTGTTCTTTAAATTATTGTAATTTTTTCAATGTGATACTTAAATTAAAAATTTTTAATTAGGTACCTAAATTTTTATTCTCTGTATTAAGTTGCTTCAACTTTTAACACAGATAGAATATGTAATATTTTAATGCCGATGTAGAGGACATGTGGTTACCATTTAGTAATGTCATTATCATGTGTCATTTTTAATGAAAAAGTATAAAAAAAAATTTAGAAATTTTATTTTAAATTTTAAAAAATGACATGTGACAGTCATATTTCAAATCATACGGTAATCACATGTTATTCAAATTAAGATTTAAATATCATATCTATGTTATTCTAATCGTGTTAAAGGATTGAGAAAATTTAATACTCAATTTTTTTAATTATCATATTAAAAAAAAAGTACAATAATTCAAAGGTCGAAAGATTATCTCTTCTAATTTATATAACAAAAAAGAACTGTAATAACTAAAAAGAATTCAAGGATTTTAGGTACAATGATATTATCACAATTATAAAGTTACAACAACTGACCATTGAGATTAGTTATGGAGTCAGAAATTTTATTTAATGGTGGTTTACATGCACGTTAATAGTTTATGAGCGACGAAAGATTTTCATCATTAAAGTAATTTTAACAACGGATTAGTGATGAAATTTCATCACTAAATTTTAAAACCAAAATTTACTGACGAAAATAAGTCTATCACTAGTTGTTTACATAATATTTTCTGGCGCCAATATTAGCGACGGAATTTCATCGCTATTTCTTTTCAATTCCGACGAAAATAACCATGAAAAGTTTTCGTTGAATTTCTGTCGCTATAATTTACTGTTTTATCTTTAAGAAAAAATATATTTTTAACTTTAAAACTTCTTTTTCCCCCCTCTCCGTTATTTCTGTATTTTCTCCTCTGTTCCCTCTGGACCTCCTTTACCAACCGAACCCAACCCCAACCCCAGCCCCAGCCGATCCTAATCAAACCCATCGTGACCTCGCCTATGCCGGCCAGAACCCGTCGCCGCTCGACTTTTTGGCTGCCAGAACCTTCGCGACCCTTCCCCTCCGACGCCCGTTCTGCCCCTACGCTACCCTCCCCTCTCGACACCACCTCTGCCTCTCCCTGTCCCCCACGGCCTCCGTTGCTTCCCCCTTCTTTCTCATCCCATTCTCACACTCTCATCTCAGTCTCTCACCAAGAGGAGTGCCCTGTCTTGCAACTCTCACTTCACTCGTAGTTGTGCTGAAATTTGCAAATTTTTCAAAAAAAACAAAAGGGTAATTACTGTTAAAGTGAGTTATTCCATATCTAATAAATTTTTAATTTCTTGTAGCTTTATATTCAAGTTGGATCTTTTCGCTTACGGTCAATTTAAATTAATTTGGATGCTTAATATGATATCAAAATTAAGATTTTTTTTCGTTGCCCTTTCTTAATTTGTCACGTTGAGGGCTTTTTTTCATTTTCACCCACATGTGAAAGGGTTCTGTTAAAGTAAATTATTTCACGTCTGATAAATTTTAAATTTTCTTTATATTAAGGTTGGGTCCTACGTTTATTGCTAATTGATTTTAAGTTGGATGCTTAACAATTACATGTGCTCACCTTCAATTATTTGTGCTAAACTGTTAATTATGTTAGGTTGAGGCTGAATTTGAGTATAATTGAGGCTGAACTTTTGGGGCCTTTATGTTAGACAAGTGAAGCGCGTTAATTCAATTTTCTTGTCTTTATCAATGTTGGTTATAGGCTTGAATTTCTTGTTCATATGTTTCTTATTCATTTCATGAGCAAGCATGTAATGTGAAATCAGAGGTTTAATTGGATGCTACTAACAGTACAGATATAAGGAATGCCATGATGAATCTTGATTTGTTGCAGCTTTACTTTTACCTTTTCTTTTGGTGTGCTAATGGTTTTAGGGTATTCAAGTTGCTACTTCCATTTTGAATCTGTCTAAAGAATGATAGGAAGTCACATATTTGATAAGCAGATCTTAGTGTCTGTGATACAATTACTTGACAACCTTTTACATCTCAAGTTTAAGCTCAAGAAGAGGTTGTATAGATAAGGAATTAGACTTAAACCCTAAACCCATGGAATTAGACTTTTTAGCCATTTGTTTTACATCTGATTATTTAATGTTGTTTGTAACTTGTAGAGGATGTCATACAGTCATATATAAATATATTGTCACTTGAGTTTAAAATTTTCATTATTCATTTAATAATGCATAATGAATATTTTAGGTTTGAAAATAAAAAAGATTACAATTAAGCATCTTTGTGTAAAATGTGGAAAGACAATGTAACTTAACATTTTTCCTTTGTGCATTTTTTTTAGATTCACTTGAATATCACATTTTCACCTTTAATAGGATGTTAAATTAATTCATGAATTTTTTAAAGAATCTCTTGGTGTAACGTACAGTGGAAGTCTATATATAGCCCATACATGTGTTAAGTTCACTTTAGCTAGAATGGTCTCAATTAATTTTATGGCACAACCACAATCCTACCATCAAATCTCAGCTATTAATTGAAAGGGTTTAGAGTCTTTGTTTTTCCATGTCTGTTCAGGTCTGTTGATCCATATACTGAATGCAGAATTGTCCATTAGTGTTTCAGGTTTACCATCTGAGGATAAAAATGGAGAAAGGAGAGCTTAGAGCAGGGAAATCCTTGGAAGAAATCCCAACTTGGACTGGTGCTACTGTGGTCACTGTTATGGTTTCTTTTGGTTTCCTGTGTTATCACTCTTTGAAAAAGTTTGGGAAGGTAAAAACAATGTCCCTGTTTTTTATTCTCTAGTCTCTCATGAATCTGAAACCCTCCAGCCTCCAAGTTTGATTGTTTTTAATGTATTTATATCTCCATCAATTTTTTCTATTTAAGTACTTGGATAAGACTAAGAGGAAAGCTTTGCTATAAGCCTTGAAGAAGATTAAAGATGGTAAAATTGATTTGAGATTGATTTTGTTTAATGTATTTGTTGTGAAAAACAGAATTTATTTCTCTCATTATATCAATGTTGTCTGTGAGCAGAATTGATGCCTTTTGGGTTTCTCTCGTTGTTGATGGGTCATTGGATTGCATTGTTTGCTAAAATTTGTGTCAAATTGTCAGCCTTACAACCTGTGATAGATCTTTTGCTGGATTTGCATCTGGTATGCTTCTTTTTGCATACCTTATGACTAGTTGACCAGTACAGTATTGGTAAAAAAAATTTCTAACATATGATAGATGCACTGCAGATGAACGTGGAACCAGAGCTGCAACTTTCAGATTTTATTAAGGCTGGAGCAGACATATTCAGTTTTCTCTCTTAGCAATCTTTAACCATCCATTTGCATCATACACTTAATCAAGTAAGAATTTTCTTTCTCTGAGTCTTTCTACTATTTTTTCCATGATAAATTGGGGAATCTACACTAGCAGTTATTTCGTTTCATAACAGCTGCTTATCAAATGAACTGTTGATTAACCCACATTAACTTTACATACAAGATGTGAATGGAGTGAGCAAATATTATCTTCAGCTCAAGTGAATCCCAAACTTGAATGCATTTCAATTAGTGAGGTCATATAAACCAGAAAAGTAAGCCATGTTTTCTCATGCACAATTTCACTTGCTTTTTCACTTGGAAGTTGTCATCTAATATTATTTTGGAATATTGCTATATGGATACCTACTTTAGGTTGAAAACTAGCAATGAAGAAACTTTATTTGACAAATCTTTTACCCTGTATCTGGGCTTCATACCACATGATATGCTAATGGGACAGGAATGTTCAGAATTCTTAGGAGCCTATTAAAGCTGGTTCTGTGTTTTGAACTTATTTGTCTTCACTATTCTTCAGAGACATGACCAAAGAATTAGGCATTGACGCTTGATCAGGACATTTGTAATGGCTGCATAATGTTCTGTTCTGTATTTGCGCCCTATTTTTGTTGCTACAGCTTTGGTGCATGGCGCATTACTGGATATGTAAGCTTTATGTTTGTAGGTGTAAAGTTAGTAAAAATTATGTAAACTTTAAAACTTTATGGTGCATTACTGGATATTTTGCCTTCAATTTGAAGTTTTAACAATACAATGATACCATCTTTTGATAACTCTAGCCACTTAACCTGCCAGTATTTTAATCTTGGTTTTGATTTCTTTAGTTCATAATTTTCTTCTAAAAAAACAATTGATTTTAAAACCTTTATACATGCACATTTAAACATTTAACTCCTCAATGATAAATGTAAGTATTATCCTATTCATTCAAAATTTCCTTTTAAATTGTACATTAAAATTAATATAATATCATTTTTAAAATTTTTTGCCAACAATATACCATTTATTGGAACTTTGAACTTATTTCAGTTTATTTATTTAATCACTCAAATATGACATCCAACAAATTTCATATTCAAATTTCAATATTAACAATCTCTTTCTTAATCCAATAGATATTCAGACACCTTTTTTTTTTTTTAAAGATACAAGAAAAAAAAGAAAAAACTCAACCATAAATCTTTTATCACCCGAAAACGGTTACACTTGGTTTTAGGCAGTTAGTGATTCTAAAAAATAAATCCTCTCAACAAAATATTATTAAACACTTGATGTGTATAATTGGAACAATGTTGCAAACAAATTGAAAAACGACGGTGCAAAATTCAGAACTTCTTAAAAGAAACAATACCAGACAAGCCCTATCATCATAAGCAAACATTAGAATACAACATAGAGATAAATCTTACAAACCCAACCAAAACAACTTAATTTTAGTACTGAATAGAAATTCATATAACAACAGAATATAACAACATTGTACAATAAAAAAAAAATTCACTCATTTCAACTCCACCCCCGCTTATAACAAATTAAGCTATCAAATAAAAAAATCAAAAAAATGATCCAAGTGGAAGATACGGTTGCATGTAGAATCTGTGCATTGAACAGCTACCTCTTGGCAGGGACTTTCACAGTCAGAGCATGTGTCAGCAAGCGTTTCGACAAAAATGAGAGAATGACGACTGTACGGGCAATGGCGACTGGAGAAGGTGGTCCCAATCTTCATCTTAATAAATGGATATTTTCCAAGAGCACATTTTGGATGAGCAGAATTATCACAAATTGCACAATGATAAAACCAATGGTTTGGGTCCCTTTTTCCTTCACATATATCACAGCAATGTTGTTCTGGATCATCATTCTCATCATGAAACTTGAGTTTCAGCAAGTGTTTATCACACTTATGCCAAGTTGCTTGTGGTAGTGCAATGCATGCAAAATCCAAAGCAAGAGTGCAATCTTTATCTTTACATTTGTATGCACCATAAAACAAGAAACCACAAGCACTGCATATCCCTGGGAATTCAAAAGTAAGAAAGAGAGAGTGTTTTTCTCCTTCGCATATGAGGGTATGAGAGACACTAGCACACCTTAGGCAGAAATTATTGTTACTTTCATCACTCTTGTAAAAGAAACCACTACAGAGGTGCAAACACTGGTGACAACGAATAATGTTCGGTGAACTGATGAGGGTGGTGGGAGATTGATGAATCCAAAGACGCGTTTTTCTTGGTAATTCAGCACAAGTTTTGTGGAGAATGAATTCACACTCTGAACAATAATAAAACGAAGTTGAGATGGATAGCATGCACCCATCACAACGTTTAACATCGTCTTGCTCGATCATTTTGCCTAATGTTAAGTCATGTTCATGGTTGAAATGTTTCACCTTCTGGGCTTCTCCATGTTCGTTCCTTTCAATAACACGAGTGATGGAAGAATTTGTAGCTAAATTTTCAATAGACTCCTCATCTTGATCAATTACTTGATCAATTTCAACATACATCTCCATAGCGCAATTCACATGGGCAACAAAATCGCAATCTTGCTTCAAACAATTGTAACTCCCATATTCTGCTTTCACTTCACCAGGACAAACTCCACAATCATGATTTTCATGATCCTTTTTTTGAAAGAAATAATTGTGAATAACAGTATGGTGATGGTGCATGGTTTTGATGATGCGTGGCAACGAAATGCAATGATTATGGATCCTGATGTGGCATGAAGAACAGATATAGGAAATAGAATTTCCCTCTGTACCACACGCATCACATATAAATGATTCATTTCTAAATAATTTAGTGAATTGGTGCTCAAGATGACTTTTGTCTTCAATAGTAGCGTACCTTGTTCTTGATCGAACACATTCCATGTCAACGTCAAACTTGCAAGGAAGACAACGATAAAACAAACTCCTATGAGTCTTTTGGCATAGCTGACAAAAAAGCCTAGCATCTTTAATATAAAGAGGGTGTTTGCGATGGCAAGGGTGATAAATTTGAGTGGGTAACTGAGCACATTTTTTGTGGAGGTAAAATCCACAATTAAGACAAACATAAACGGAGTCTGCCAGTAGTTTTTGACACCAATAGCAATTGGCTCTTTTGAATTCATCATTGGGATTTTCAATAAAGGTCAATGGATGTTCATGGTCAACATATTTGAGCTCATAAAAATTTTCATCAAAGTTATGCAAGAGAAAGGCACATTTGATGTCAAGGTAAGCAACGCAAACAGGACAGCAGTAAAAAAACATTTGACGACTTTCCTTGCATAAATCACAAAAATATCTACCTCGCATAAGAATAAGAGCACAGTGCTTACAATGAAAAGGGGAGTGAGGAATTTGTAAGGGTGCTTGGGCACATTTTTTATGAAGGTGAAACTGGCATTCTCCGCAGCTAAAACATGTGCCAAACAATGGTTCCAAACATCCCTTGCAGCAAGCGTCTTTACTTTTATCACTCAGTTCTTCATTCAACACCAATGGGTGTTCATGGCTAAGGTGTTTGATTTTCTCTCTCTCCTTCTCCATAAGTGAAAAAAGAATTTGAGATAGTAAGGAAAGATATAAGATGTTTGAAAAAACACATAGAAAGAATTAGATTTGTTGATCAATACTTATAACCAAAGAAAACCCTCCTTTTATTCTTTTCTTTCCTTTATTGGTTTAGCTTTCTTAATTCTTTAATTTCTTGTATTTATTAAGAACCCAAACTTTAAAAACACTGACATTAGTTAATGACTTTGCTCTTATAAACATTTATATTAATAATGATTTTTTTGGCTAAATTTATGTAAAAGTTTATATTTGATAATTTTAAATACAATACAATAATATAATATAAAAATAATAAGAAAAAATATAAAAAAGACACAATTTAAAATTTTAGTAAAATTGTATATAAATTTAACAAAAACAAAAAAAATGTATTTTATATTTCACATATCGACACAAATTATGATATAATATTTTTTATATTATATACATGTTCAATATAAAATAAATAAACATAAATAGATAAATTATCAAATCTATAACTATTATCATGAACATGATAAAAGAAAAAAAAAAGAAAGGAATATATATTTTACTTTGTTCTCTTTATATGCATTTACATCGAAAACAAGCAAAGGATATTACTTTAATTGATACTATGCTTTTTTATTTCTTCTTTTGTTAACGAAACAGTAAGCACCAAAAATTGAGAAATCTTCCATGAATGCAATGCATAAACCTTAAAAAGATGAAGCAGACTTTCCAAACAAATGTGTAATAATGTTTAAACTACTACACCAAAATAACAAATGATCCAAAAACCGTTGTTAAAATTAAAGCAACTCATCGAGAGAGCCTTTAACCATAAAAAAAAAAAAGATTTAATTATGTATTAATGATTACTTTTTCAAAATATATAAAATATTTGGCAAAAGTGCTGGTAGAACTTATTTCATTGCATTGCAAACGAAATATTCACCGGACCCTTGAGGGTTCTATAGAAATCTTCCGTGCCCACCACAATCTCCTTTCACTTTTATTTTTTTCAAAATCTCCTGACCCATTTTCCCCTTATTCCTTTTTTTTTTTTTTTTTTGCATTTTGTTACCTGTTTAAAGATTTGCAATTATTTAATGATTTAATTAATAAATAAATTTATATTGAAGCTTTTTTTATTTTTTTATCTTTTTTTCATTTTTTACTTAAAAATTTTTAAATCATTGATTTTAATTTTATAGTTGCAATTCTAATCTCATTGTTACAATAATTAGTCTTATTATTATCATCATTTTCAATATCACTAAAATCAATCTCATCATCAGTCTAAATAAATCTTTAGGCCTAATTTTCCATACTAGAATAATAAAGAATTTGAAATATAGAGATAGAAAGAAAGATTTGTTGATCAATATTTATAACCAAAGAAAAACTTGCTTTATTCTTTTCTTTCCTTTATTTTCTTATATTTATTAACAACTCAAACTTTAGTTCACCGACACTAGTTATTAATTCCCTTATTCTTATAAACATTCATGTTAATAAAGATTTTTTTTTTTGCCAAATTGTATGTAACTTTTACCTTGAACGTGACAAAAGCAACAAAAAAAAAAAAAAGAAATAAAGAAAGAAAGAAGGAAGGAATATATATATTTTACTTTGTTCTTCTATATATACATTTATATCCAAAACAAGCAAGGAATTTTATTTTGATTGGTACTACTTTTCCTTTTTTGTTAAGGAAACAATTAATACCAAAATTTGACTAAGTCTTTCATAAATGCTATGAATGTAATATATATATATATATATATATATATAGATATATTTTTTTCTATCATATAAAATCCTAAAGATGAATCCCACTTTCCTAACAACTGTTTGATCATGCTTAAACTACTGCACCAAAACAATGAGTTGATCTGAAAGACAATAGCTAAAAAATTAAGTGTATTTGGTCAATTTGATTAAATTTTAATGAATTATTTGAAATTAAATTAATCAAATTAGTTTATTTTGTTTTCCTTAACTGAATTGAATCTATTAATTTTAAAAATTTAATTTGGTTAATTCGATTAATTTTTAAATTAATCAAATAATAAAATATATTTAATTAAATTATCTTTTAAATTCTTAATTTCTCATTTTTGAAACAAAATAAATAAAATCATCTAATAAAATATTCAAATACGAAAGTATTAAATTAAAAACTCTAACAACATATAAAATGAAATGATTAATTTTATGTATTTTTTGGATTTTGTTATATTTTAGTTAAAATTTCAATTAATTCAGTTTTTAAATCAAATTAACTGAAAACTAATTTTTTTAAAAAATAATTTCAATAATCAATCAAAATTAATTTGATTACTGATTGATTATCTAAATTAAATCAATTAGTTCGATCACTTGAATTAAAAATACTTTAAAAAAAACCTATCGAGAGAACTTTTAATAAAAGATGGAATTTATTTATATATTGATGATTACATTTTCAAAATATGTCAAATATTACCATATGGATTTGGAATCGGAAGGTCTGGGAAGAGTAGATTAAGGTCCGAACCACATTTGGCTTTGGTGAGGTGCAATTGAAGGTCTCAACTCGACTAGATGGTTATTTGGCAAACGCAGTTATAACTTATTTCGTTGCATTGGGTTACCTATTTAGAGATTTCTAATTATTTAATGATTTAAGTGATAAAATAAATAAATTTATATTGCTGATTTTTTTCATTTTGTTTTTTTTTTCAAAATTTTGACTAAATTTATTAAAATTTTTTATTTTTGCTAACTCTCCCATTATTCTTTTTTATTTCCATTTTGTTACTTTACTTTCAATTTTTTGATTTAAATTTTTTGAAATTATTTATTCATTTAATGTAATAAATAAATTTATATGATTATATAATAAATAAATAAGTGGTTAGTTAAAATATTTGAATAAATATATATAATGAAATAGTTATATAACAAAAAAATTACTTATTTTATTAGAGAAAAAAAATTTTCAACCCAACTCTTTGAATAAAAGGTAAAAGAGATCAAAGAGAGTTTTTAAAATTTGGTGCTTAGTTAAAATTTGGTGCATTGTGAGGATAGTAGAGTTAAGGTTGGCAACGGGTCGGATTAGGGTCGATTTTTGCTCGCTCCGAATTTGACCAAACTTTATATCCGTCAAACCCGACTCCGACCCGATCGAAATTTTTTAAAATTTTTTTCATACCCGAATCTGACTCAATAGTATATAAATTGTACCCGACCCTAATCCGATCCGAAATTAATAAAATATTATTTTTTAAATATAAAATATTATTTTTTAAAATATAAATATTTAAATATATAATTATATAAATATATATATATATATAAATAAAAAATTAATTTAAAAATTAATTTTTATATAATATCGGGTCGGGTCGGATCGAGTTTGTCTAAAACCTGAAACCGACCTGATCTGACATCTTCTTAGCACTACCCGATCCGCAATTCGATTTAAAAAAAAATATCCGACCTTATGGGCTTGGGTGAGGTCAGAACTCACCGAGAGCGAGTTGGGTTGCTCACCCTAAATAGAGTGGATGGTAACAACGACAGATCTAGAATTTTATAAGGTATCCACTTATAATATATAAATAAAAACTACCAATGAATTTATTATTTTATTAATGGAAATGATATTTGGAAAAAAAAATCTTAAGTTGTTTAAGAAATTTTTTTTTAATTTTTAGAAATTTTTATGGACAACCTACATAAATATATAGATCTCCGATGCAAAGTGATAATTAAAAATTTTCATGTTAGAGTGTGTGAGTATTAATTATAAAAGATTTCACGCTTGTTAAAATTGTTATAATTTTAACAAGTAATGTGTTTTGTTTTAACTTAAAAAAAAAAGATTTTGATGTTAAGTGTAGAAATTGATAATTAAGATTTATATTATTCTTTTCTTTTTTGTTAACGAAGCAAGTGCCAAAATTGAGACATATTCATTGAACAAAACGCACGTTTTAGTTTGAATAGAAACCCTTTAAAGATAAAGCATGATTTTGCCTAATAAATGTGCCATCATGTTTTCGTTATTAAATTTTACAATATTTGCATGGTTTGGTCGAAGTACCAAGACATGTACATTGTCACAATTCTATTTGACATAATGTTATCATATCTAATAAATTTATAATTGAGAATTATACTTCTAAAACTAAGGGTAAAAACAGAGGTCGATTCAAATTGTTAGATAAAGTATCTATAAATATCCTCAACAATTTAAAACAAAAGAATTTAAAGAAAAATCTTCTTGTGAATGCTCTAAAAAAATCATTGATAAATCACGTCACAATATATATATATGTATATATATGTTTATACTGTATTACTTTGTTTTTGTTATTTCTTTTAAGACTAAAAGTAATGAGGTACACAATCCTATTATAGTAAGTACGTATTTTTTATCATGGCTTTGTTCAACTCCAATAAAACGAGAGTGAACAAGAGACTAAGGTTAAAGCTACCTATCGAGAGAGCCTTTAGGCTTTAACAATAGAACAAAACAAAAAAACAAAAAAACCAAAAAACAAACAAACAAAAACAAACAAACAAATGCAATTGTGATAATAAATGGATTAAAAATTGATATTGAAAAAAAATAAAGTTCACAAATATCTTTAGAACACTAATGCCAAAAAAATAATTTTTAGTAATTAAATAATATTTTGGATAAAATGTAGTCAGAACCAAGCTTGGAAATTTTTGTTTAAGGTTCGACTCAAGTCTATAAATAATTCTAATACAATAATAAAATCAAATGCTCACTTAAAATACAATGACAAATTTATTTTTTATTTTCCTTTCAAAATTGAAACTTAACTAATTTTAATTGTTAACATCTTTTGTATTTTCCAAGCTTAGAAAGTATATTTTTCCAATTATTGCAAAATTTTATTGTGGAGAGAATAAATTGCAAAAATTTTCAACAAAAAAAGGGAGGAAATGTTCACTTTTGGCATTCTCACCCTTGGTTAGGGCCCAATTCAACTAACTATATTCCAGCCCATGGGTGAACTACTGCTT